TTCTGACCCATTACCTCTACTTGTGGAACTCCCAAATTCAATGTACCTTCTCACTAAGAATTAATTTGATACAGACCTTGACGAAATAAGTGATTACTTATCTGATGTAACTCAATACTTACTTACAAACACAGACAAACTGGAAGTAATCTGCTAACTACCTAATGAAGGGCCAGAAAGTAGTTTAGTGTTAAAAAAAAAAAAACAAACAAAAACAAAAACAACCACTAAAACTCAGAATTCCTGAAGTAAACAAAAGCAGGCTCTTCTGCATGCATTGCAGGGCTTGGCCTGATCTACTATTCGAGCAGCTCAATTTCTAAGTTACAACAGTTAGAACATGTCACAACAGTCAGAAGTGACTTGTTTTCGATAACATTACAGAACAGACACTATGTTCTTGTCTTTCCCCTTTGACAACAGGTAATACAGTTTATCTATACTGCATTAAAATATCTTTCTTATGTTTTCCAAAAACACTCCAGGTCATCCATCTTCAAATGCAGTGAAACAAGAAGAGCACAAGAATCTTGCACATTACCCAATACATTCATTATTTTATCCAACTTAAACAGTTTTGTCTTTGGTATTTTTCAAGATAAAGAATCCTCATCCCTTCAGTTTCTCTTTATACAAGAGTTTTTGAGAGAGAATCAAAATTCTTGCAATATCCTTTTAATTGATAAGTAGAAACTATGACATGCCATATTAGAAATTAAGCAACCCAATAACTTACAGACCCTCAAGGAAAAGAAAGTAGATTAGATTTGATTGTTTGAAGCATACAATATGTATTTTCATAATGCCAATTACAATGTGTCAGTAGGTTCAAATTAAACAATCTGTTTCCCTATCTACAGCAATAATTCCAATACAGAACTGTAAGAGCTAAAATTACAAAACCAAAAAATATCCACTTCCACTTGTGTTTGGGACCAATATAATTCCTCACAGTTTCCGACAACAACTAGGAAAGCACTAGTATGCTTAGTGTTGGTCTCCCACCAACAGTCTCACCACTCAAGTCTCTCTTCAAGAGATTAGGAAAAGCTTTCAATAAAGTACCAAGGGACATTTCTATAGCTCAAGACCTTCAATTATATAATATTTTTGCTGTTGTAATTAAAAAGTTAGATACTGCCTAACAGGGACATTCAATAGTTTCTTATTCTCATCCAAACCACATCCGATAAACAGGAAAAATGATTATTTGGAAACACTCCAATTTGCCACTGAAACAGTCAGCCTTCCTCCACAGAATAGGCTTCTCTCTCTGATTTCTGACTGTAGCTGTATCATAAAAAGGGAGAGGAGAGCAAAGAACGCATTGAAAGACCAATCCCATTAAACCTGGGCACACGCTCAGCACTTAAGTGGCAGTCCCAGAAGGGGATGTACCTGGTGTGCTGCATAAGCTGGGCAGCCAGGCTTGCACAAGAGCCCCCACTGTACTGCCACCTCAGTCTGCCCATACCTGGCACTTGGCTCCTAGTGAGCTTTGAAAATGAGAAAAAAAAAAGTAAAAAACAATAAATCTGCATGTTAGTTCACCAAACAAAAACCGCTGGCATATTTTCCAGGTCCAGCATAAGTCAAATAGGTTGGTTTAATATCTGGGTTGAGCAGCATTCCTGATGGAGTACTCAAAAGGCATGCAAAACAGCTTTTATGCAGGAAATAACTGACATTTTCTGGACAAAAAAAAAAAAAACAAACCTATCCTACCAACGCTGAAGATGAGCAACAGTTGTTTATCTGAAGATGATGCTCAACATGTGATGCCTGTGTTCCCTTCCCAGTGTCTGCCATTAGGGTCAAAGACCATCTTGTACACCTTTCTGCTATAAAAATAAGTCCCATCAAGTCACAGACTTTGTTCTAAGAAGGTTTAAGAGCCCACTGCAGGTGGGCACTTATGGCTGCACTGATGAAAAAGACACCACCATTCAATAGAAAGCCAGGAAGATTCAACCACATAGATAGACCACAAACTTAAAATAAAAGGGATTAAAATAAAGACGAGAGGATACCATTCTGGCTGCAGGCAGTGCACCAGATTGAGCTCAATTATGATGCCTGACATTGTTATTTAGCTGATTTGGGGTTCAGTTGGGTCAAGTTTGGCAGCTAATATGTGAGAAACCTCCACGGAGCTGTACCTACTGATCCTCTAAGACAGACCAGAAGAGACCCCAAGCCTCACTTTGTGGCAAAGGGCACTGCAGGGCTGGACTGGCTTTTTTCTTGGAGCAAGGCATGAAACCCTGGTTACACTGTCATCTGGTCACTAGTGCACACACTACAGGAGATCTATTACAAGTATTCTTATCCCATCAAAATTCCTGAAAGACTATCCTCCAAAACATTCCTGGGTAGTTCCAACGATGCAATCAGCTTTCTAGAACTAGGATACACAGTTGCTATCCGGTTTTCAATTGCCTTACTGCACCTCAGAAGCAGCTTTAAAAACAGCAAAAAAAAAAAAAAAAAAAAAAAAAAAAAAAAAAAAAAAAGGAGGTGAAGACTGCAGTTGTACTACAGACACTGCTCCTAGCAGTTTTGAACTGAATTTTATCACCGAGAGAACAAACTGAATCACTAAAATTTAATATTGTTTGTGATCCTTCTATATAGTCAGGAGGAGATGTCATTTAAGAAAAAGCTGAACCAATACTATTAACAAAATATTTGCAGTCCTGCAGCCCTCTCTTCAAAGTACTCTAAAAGTTACCATGTATATCTTAAAAGATTTGTGCTATTTAAAGTATGAACTAGAAACATGTAACAAAGTTTAAAGAATGCTTGCAAGCTAAAGGGAAATATAAAAAAGAAGGTCTTTGCTGTACAGATACAAGAAACAACTAAAAATGGGTTATTGATCCATCACTACTTACCATGTGGGGAATACTAAAATGATGCAAGAACATTTTTTCAATATATGCATACAGTAATATACAAATACTGAACTCTGTTGCAGGTACTCCTCACCACAAGACTCAACTCTTCTATTACCACAGTTTCAGGAAAACCACCTATTATTACATATTTACTTCTTCGATTTAATTGACACCCTTTGGATAAATGGAAAGAAGTGAAATCTTCAACTTCAATCCCAAATCCACCCTCATAATTTAAGGCCACATATGCACAAATATAATACAAGCTACAAAAGCATCTTTGGGTGTTTCTATTTTATATATTTTAGTGACTGTCCAAGGGTTATTACACAGCATATTTAAAAGAAAAAGTTTTCAGAAATCAGAAAGGCAAATGCAAAGTGTTATGGAAAGGGATGGGAAACAAGGCACTTAATGAGCAATAAAGCAAAGAAAAAAGGAGGCAATATACACTATTTACCTTCCCCCCACCCAAACTTAATCTGATACCAAACCTTGATTTCCCCACCTACCAACAAGAGTGAGAATTTAAAATCATATACACCCTACTGTAAAACCTTTAAGTAACCATTCATTTTTGATGCAAACAATTCCATTTTTTCCTGAAATTTCTCAAAATGGCACTACCACCATCAATTTTAAACATTCTCTCCCTAACAACATGAACCAGACGGATGATTTATCAAAACTACATCTGAGTATATGCTTCAGCAGTACGATATGCTAAATTCCCTACACACTAATGCAGCCCAACATGCTGAACAGCTGCAAAGAGCCTGACAGGAACATTAGAAATGTGGCCATATCTTTCAGTACCTCGATCTATTTTTCATATTACAGATCTCTGTATGGCACAGAAACCAGGGCTGGCTCTATCAGCAGCATTGGTACCTGCATAGAAGGAGAATTGAGGCAATAGCTTATCACACTCACAACTGTTTTCTTCCTCTTGCTCTCACAGAATAGAAAGAATTCAGGCAAGATAACATTTTTTTTCCTATGAACAGTTGGAAGGATCCAAATATAAAAGTTGCCCAAAAGAGTAGTTACCTAACTCATATCATTAAACAAAATTCAGGCTGAAATAAATGTGCTGCAATTAATATCAGTATGTTTAAGATACAGACTAGACAAGGTGCGACCAGTTCCATTACAACTGTTCTCTAGGTATCAGCCAGAGCATTTCCTTCTAGAATCAACAGCTTATGTAAACATAACCAGATCGTATTTTGACCATGACTGACCACTGCCTGCTTTAAAAGTTGATTTATTCCATGCAAAAATAATACCCAGACTTTTAAAACACGCCTTATTTGAATGACAGCATAAAGAGCACCACTGCGCTGAGACTTTAGCAGAAAAATTAGACGTAATTTAAAATTTAGGACCTGCTACAGGAACAACCCGTGTCTCCCCTGTTTCTCCTGCTCCCTACTTCCTATTGTTCCGCTGCTCAGCAAGTGATGCCATGTCACGGACGAGGAAAACCTAAATGACAGTTTGCTAGCTCTTTCTTTAAAACGGTTATGCCAAGAAATCCATTTACTCAGGTCTACACCGAGAACTGGTCACACACAAAAGATGGTTTAAAACATTCTAAAGCCCCAAAAGCACGAGCAAGACTTTGGCTTCTGAAGCAGCCGGCAAGACGACCCAAAATGGTGACTACGAGTAATAAGTCACATAAAAAAAGGCATTGTTAAAAAACCCACAGCAAACAACAAAAAAAAAAATGTTCTATGAAGCCGATGGTCAGGCTGAACAGTGTAAGAGGCCACTCATTTACTCCCAACGAGAATCCATTAAAGGAAGTGTTTTCGTCAGGCACGAAATTGGTTCCTCCAAGCCCACCCGTACCGAAACACGACTCCGGCACTGCGCGGAGGGGCTGGGGCCGCTCCGAGTGACCCATGGGGAAGCAGGCGCCGGCCGGCCGGGATAACGCGGGGCTCCCAGGGCGCGGATAAGGCAGGGCCGGAGAAAGGGCGGCATTAACTTGGGGAGTAGGGGGGCACACGAGCCTGTGGGGCAGGAGGCGGCAGGGGAAGGAGGGCGCGGACGGGCCGGGAGTCCCGTGGGGAGCCGCGCCGCTCGCTCACTCACCCGTCCTTGCGCTTGGCTTTGTAGACGTGCCCGTAGGTGCCCCTGCCCACCTTGCAGCCCTCGTACTCGAAGAGATCCTCCACCCGCTCGCGCTCCCCGGTCAGCTTCACCTTGAAGTCATAGTCCATCTTGGGCGCCCGCCGCGACCCGCCGCCGCCGCCCCCGGCAGCCGCGCCCCGCCCCGCCGCACACACCGGGCGGCGGCAGCAGCAGCAGCAGCAGGAGGAGGAGGAGGAGAAGAAGAAGGAGGAGGAGGAGGAGGAGGAGGAGGAGGAGGAGGAGGCCCCCGCGCCGCCCCGCGGAACATCCAGCAGCGGGGCTGCTCCCTTCGCTCCAAGCCCCAACCCACGGCGCTCCCTCCCTCCCTTCGCCCCGCGCCAGCCGCGGCACCGCCGCCGCTCCCCGGGCAGGCTCTCGGGGCCGCGCCCGCGCGCGCTGCCGCAAACGGACGTCGCAAACCGCGGGCCCCTCCCCAGCCGCGGGCACAGCACCACGTGGAACGGCCCGTCCCGACGTGCCTTGCGGCGCAGCCGCACGCCGGGAGGTGTAGTACAGGCGGAGGGACGGCGGCCGGGCCGCGCTGCATGCCGGGAGCTGTAGTCCGTGGGCAGGGCACAGGGGGCACAGGGCGCGCCGTCAGCAGCCGCGGTGACCCGCGCACAGTCCCATCGCAGGGCCTTGGTTACGGTGAATATTCCGGTCCCCTGCTCGATCCAGGCTGGCGAGGGCAGACGCGGTTGGTCCGTGCTGCTCTTAGATCTGTTAGCATCGTTGTAATTAAGACAATTCCACGACTGTAAACACGTACAAAATCATAGTCACAGAATATTTTGAGTTGGAAGGGATCCATCAAGTTCATCTAGTCCAGCTCCTGGCCCTGCATAGCACCATGCCTGAGAGACACACCGTGTGCCTGGGAGCGTTGTTCAAACACTTCTTGAACTCTGTCAGGCTGGTGCTGTGACCACTTCTCTGAAGAGCCTGTTCCAGTGCCCACCACCCTATGGATGGAGAATCTTTGTGATACACAGCCTAAACCCCCCAACACACTGTCAGGCCATTCCCTCCGGTCATGTCATTGGTGATAGAAATTAACTTTTAGTACAATTAAGGGGGGACAAAGTCGTTGAAGCAAAATAAGCTGTTTATTGTAAAAAGTCACCTGAGTCAGATGTGTGTGTCTCTCTGTCCGAGAGCCGAACAAACACCCACACCAAAGTTTTATACTCACTTTTATATGCTTTTGCGGCTGGGGTGGTCCCTGTCCCTTTTCCCACTGGATGGGTACTTAGGAACTTACATTCTATCCCAACTGCCTTCTTTCCTACTCCCGCCCCACTCATCCCCTTACTTTTTTTGGTCCAATGTTTAAGCGCGCCCCTCTTCCAGTTCTCAGCACTACTCGACAGATCAAATAGAACAAATCCAAACCATAGATAACAACAGTTAAAGAATAGAACCAACAACTTTCATTCTTTTACTTAATAATCTTTTTGGCTTCAGCAGAAGACTTCATTTCTCACACTGGTCACCACAGAGAAGAGATCAATGCTTGCTCCCCTGTTTCCTTTTGTAAGGAAGTTGCAGACTGCAATAAGGTCTCCTCTCAGTCTCTGCCCCAGGATGAAAAGACCAAGTGACCTCAGTCATTCTTCATCATCTTGGTTGTCTTGCTTTGTAAACCTTCTGATAGCTTAAAGTCTTCCTTCTGTTGTGGTGCCCAGAGCTGCTAACAGCACTCAAGACACAGATGGATGTCACAGTGCTGACAAACCTTCTCTGTGTGGCTGCTGAGATCAGTCAGGATGTAATACAAAAACTGTTATGTTTGGTAAGACCCTCCTCGCATGTGACAAGTGACTGGGTATTTCCCAATTCTCTCCTTGGCTGACAGAGGCAGAGTTACCAACCCAATACAAATTCAGATGGTAGTTTTGTAGAACAGACAGCTTGGAAATAAACTAAAGCTACAGCAATCTTTCTACTTACAGCCCAGCTTCTGGCATTTTTAGTAATCATGTACATATGCTTCATGTTTCAGGTGAAGCATACTGAGTAAACAAGTGGTCACTCAAATGCCCTAACTCAGAGATATCATAGCATCTGGGGACTCCCAGAAGGAAGAAACAACATTTTCTGGAATGGTCTGAAATAATCTCCATTTTAATTTACAAATCTCCATTTTCATGTACACATCAACATTGATCCCTGAAAATTTGGGATAGGGTTGTACCCACCCCCTGAATTGGCATCACTCAATCAAACTCGTGCCAGATGCCCACAGCTGGACTTTCGGTATGTTGCTATGTGGTTGTTAGGGATATAATGTATGTTGAATAAAGCAATTAGGCATGTGTAACAAAAAAATAACTGCACTTGAGAGAAGCAGCAAAACTACATTTCATTTGCCCAGCAACTCAACTAAACTTGTAAAGATTTGCCTAGCACCTCACTACACCAATCAAACAGAAACAGTTTAGGGCAGCCCAAGCAGCCTGTAAAGATCAAATTCTGGAGGATGCCATCCACCTCACAAAGTTCATCCACCTTAGCCCCATCTGTGCTTTCAGGAATGCCTGGCTTTGGGGACTTTCAGGGACAGTAAGGGACCAAGCTTGCATGGCCGAACCTTCCATGTACAAGAACCTCCTGCCTGCTCACAACCATCTGTCCTATCAGCAGGGGAAGTAGTAATAACCACACTTCTGTAACTTTCTAGTCTTCTCTGCATTATTAATCACTTTTTTGTGGAGGCAGTTGTTGGAGACTGAAATATTATAGCTTATGACTTAAACATTTTCAGGAAGGACTTTTTGCATGTTACAGCTGCAGAGAAAACCACCAAAACCCTAAATGGGATTCTGGCTACACTGCTCACTGCCCGATGATCAAAGATAAGATAAGTAACAACCCAGAGCTGGAGATAAGAATACATTCACAGAGGGATCACTCTTAAGCACCTTCGGGATGGGGACCATACCTCCAGGGCTATCAGTGGCCAGACCAGCACAGACCCTGACACCAAAGGGTGGGGGGAGAAGAGAGGCTTTGGGTATGTAGTGGAAAAGCCTCTGGTCAGAGGCAGTGATCCTCCTCCGCTGTGCAAAGGAGCTCAGCTGAAGGGGCCAATTTACCCAGGGAAAAACTTACCCATAGGAAGGACAGCCGGGGGGGTGTCATGGCCCATCAAAGACTCTCCCTTAACGGGGTCCCCAGACCCTACACCTGAGATGGTGCAACAGATCCACAATGTTGCAAGAGACAGTGTGAAACCGAGCCCCCTGCAGGGGAGACACACGGGCGTTGCCAGCTGGCCCAAAACGTATATTAATCCACTGGATTCTGTATTCTGCGGAGTGGTGGCGGTGGCGGAGGAGCCCCACTACCCAGAAGACCAGATGGAGAGGAGCAATGAGACGTCGTTGGGACCCCCAGAAGGGTGATATGTTTCTATGTAACCCCTGTCACTCGCCCCCTATCCCCCTGCCGCACCATGCACACTCTTTTTTCTATTTCCTTCTTTCTTATATCTTCCTTTCTCTTTGCCTCTTTTACTAGTAAATAAAATATATAATTTTTTTTGGCACCAACACCTAACCTCGTTTGGTTTTAATCACGTTTTTTTTGTATATTTTGAACCTTTCTGGGTTTGGTCTGCTTTATTCACAGAGGCTTAGCTTTCTTTGCTCTTCTGTGTTTAAAACTGGATTGTACCAGCAATGAACATCCATCCAAACTGCTTAACACAGATTCAATCACTGCATGGTAATTAATAGTTGGGATTAGTACCTTCTGAGCTGAAACATTGAAGGGCATGGAAGACAAGCAAAGACTTTCTTAGAAAGAAAAGAGATCATGAAGGAAAACAGGAACAGACAATTCAGATTTGTTTTTTGAAGACCTGTGCTATATTTCACATTTGCATAGAACATTTGGAAAGAATTCTACACTTTGACAAACTCTGAGAAGTCAAAACCATAACCAAAACAGATACTTCTCCAGATTGTTGGTCCTTTTGTAAGAATATTTACAAATTTGCTTCAAATGTTTCTTTCCTTAGTTTTACATATGATTTTAATTGTATGCCTTACAGACTGAATGTAGCTGTAAATCTGCTGTATTTTCACTCTGTTTCCACTTCAGGTACCTGTACTAAAAACAGTATTTGGTTTTACCAATTCAGATGCATGATCCCCAAGTCGGGATAGAATTGAAACAGGAAGTACACTTTGTCTCTTTTTAAATGAGAAATTAATATTGACATTTTAAGGTCAACATTTAACTCTGTTTCCTGGAAAGGTGCATACTTTTTGTGCTTTATTTTAAAAATCTGTCACGGTGTAATATAATTTTAAGGAAATGTTTAATTTTGGGGTTCACTCGTCAAAAGACACATACAACCAAGATCTGGTATTCTTGACTCTCAGGTCCCCATCCCCACAGTGGTCCTTTAAATTGATAACCTTTCTTACCTCTTACTGCCTGTTTTTCATTCCTTTCATGTTCTCTCAGGAATCAGTTTAAAAATATATTCTTCACACATCTCACTGAAGCTGGATTTTTGTAGCTTTCTTCTTTTTCTTTTTTTCCTCTAACATTCAGAGTCTGGCTTATCATATCCTTCTGTTCCAAGTTTGTGTAATTTCTAATATCGCCAGAATACACACATTTTTGACATTTTTTTTTTGTTTGACATCACCACCTCTGCAAAGAATATCAGAGTTCTCTATAGGAAAGCCACCATTATCATGTTAGCGTTGATAATGTGCAGTTATCAAAGTGAGCTGTGACCAGAGAGGACAGTAGTCAAGGAAGGCTGACATCACTAAACATTTCTGAATGTATTTCAGGGAATTGTCTTTCAGGTGAAAACCTGCATTGTCTGGGAACAGGCTGGATTGAGACAATAACTAGATGCTGTCATTTGGGGTAGGGGAGCATCAATACCGAAAGCAAAGCTGGTTTTGGGAGCGGTGTGTGTTTGTGTGCTAGTGGCCACGGTGTTGGTGCTAGAGTCAGAGTTTGTGAAGCAAAACTTACAGCAGGGGAATGTACAACAAGCTACTTGCTCTCTGTTTTGTAGTCTTCAAAAATAGAACAAAAAATACATGAGTACAACTTTAATGCTTTTGCTTTCTCATATTTATATTTTATAAGTAGATAACCTACAACACTCAATCACAGCAGCCCATTCGTTCCAGTGCTCAGTCGTCTGCACAGTAAAGTATTTCTTCCCTGTGTTTGGGTGGAGCATCCTGTACATCAGTTTCTACCCATTGCCCCTTGTCCTATTGCTCAGCACCACGAAAAAGAGCCTGGCCCCATGCTTTTGATACATTATATACATTGATAAGATCTCTTCTCACCTTTCTCCAGGCTAATGGCTGCTGCGGTGAAAGCCTGATCCTCATTGTTAACCAACGCCACCAGGAACGCTCCAACATTTCCAGCAAAGACAATCAGTAAAGCCCCCGTTCTGCATTATGCCAGGGGACCGGTCACTCCTAGATGAAGGAGTGCATTTGTCCTCGTTGAAATTCATGAGGTTGTTGCTGTCCCATTCCTCCAGACTGTCCAGGATCCTCTCAAGCCCATCAACTTCATGTGACCACTTTGGTGTCACGCAGAGATACTAAGATCCAGTTTGAAAAGACTGATTATGTGGTCCTGCCTTACTTATATCAAACAATAAAATAGAATAGAGCTACTTTCTAAAGAACTTCAAGGACTGAACATTCAAATCCAGGGTCTCAGATTCTTTATTACAAAACTTAGTAATTGCCTGAGGTTTGCTGCCCTCCACAGACTGTTCATAGTATAATCGCAAAGAGAGTCACTGTGGAAAGCGTTGCTACAGTGCAATAATATTCCAAGAAAGATCTACTTTTGTAATTTTGTATTAACAAAATGAACAAGTACTTTACTTAGTTACAGTGTGCTGTTGTGAAACACCACTATGAACAGGACATGAACACCAAATTCTGCATTAGAGAGCAGGTCAGTGGAAAATAAAGAAATTCAGTGTAAGGTTTTGATACAGAAATATGTGTTTATTCACCCATCTAACCTATATTCACCCATAACTTCCTACTGTATGAACAATTTGTGTGTGGGTTTGATACCAGAGAAAATGTTGTGTTTGACTGTGGAACAATGATTACTAAAAGCAGATTATAAAAGGAAAAGATTTTAAAAACATGATCAAAAATAGTTGTGGGAAGAAATAGAATTTTCAAGGGATCCAGGAACCACTTTATATTTATACACACACACACATTTATTTATTTATTTATTTATGTATTTATATATACACACACTCTGAGTTTTATTATGACAGTAAAACTGATCTTCAGGAAGAACATATTTAAATTGCTTCAGGTAAAACATATACATATATTTATTGTTTTATATACATATATAAAGGCAAAATATAATAGAATACTAATTATTCATATTGTGGCAATGTACGTGAAAAACAAAGACGTTACAGTTTTCTGAATGCAGTGAACAAAGAGTAGTTCATGGTCTGGCCTCGGCGTTAAGAATGTTGCCTAAAATTAATTTGTCTCATGGAAACCACCTAATGGCAGAACAGGAATGCAAACCACCACCAAACCTAAACATAACACTTGTGTAAACTCTTTCTTAAGCAGAATAAAGAGATCCTGGATGTGTTGTGAAAGTATCTTCCTGGTCAGCAACCCTGAATCCTTCCTGGCACCTCATTCTTTCCTGAGGGTGTTCCTTTGCACCGAGATCGGCTGCACAGAAAATACCCAAAGTGTTCATTTCCGCACGCCAGTTTGAGCACAAGTATGAGCAGTTTGGATACGCGACGGATGAGGCGAAATCTGCTCATTTTGCTCATTCAGAGAATTTGTGCAAGATGTGAAACTTGCTCTGCTGCCACAGCCTCGAAGCTTCCAGCACATATTGAGACAAATCTGCAGAAACCACTCGGGGCAGCGAGTTTGTGGGTGCTGCCAGTGCATCCACAACCAGAACGTGCAAAAATTTGTGACAGGTTCCACATCTCCTGTGAGAGAACTTTTACCTAAGGTTCCGCCAGTAGAAATTACTAAAATCATGGTTTGAGACAGGTGACAGCCCATGTCTCAAGCAATTCTTTTTTGAATTCTTTGGAAGAAGTTCAATGGGCGATTTCTGCAGAAGCAAATATGAACAGAAAGGAAAGTGTGAGAAATGAAGTATTTTGCTGCTGAAAAGGTTATTAAGCAAAAGAAAGTTGTTGGTTCTATTTTTTTATTGCTACTATCTATGGTTTAGATTTGTTCTGATTGAGGTGTTGGGTACCGTTGAGAACTGGGAGAGGGGCGCGCTTAAAAACTGGACCAAAAAAATGAAGTGAATGAGAAGGGAGGGGATAGGAAAGTAGGCAGTCGAGGTAGAATCTAAATTTCTGTGTTCCCATCCAATGGGAAAAGGGACAGGGACCACCCCTGGCCGCGAAAGGGTATAAAAGGTAGCCACTTTGGCGTTGGCATTTTTTCGGCTGCCGGACAGAGAGATACACACAACTGCGTGAGTTGCATCGTTACAATTAAGTTTCTTTTGCTTCGATGATTTTGTCTCTACTTAATTGTATCTAAAAGCTAGCTAATTTCTACCAAAAGAAAGGGACACAAAGACGCGCAAAAAAAAAAGGAAAGGCGTCCCATCTAAAGCCTCAGCAGACCCGGGTGGGAGAAAGCAGCATTCGCATTCCTCATATATTGTTACAATGTGCCAAACGCGCGTGCGCACGAGGGGGCGGGGCTGAGGGCGAGGGCCGCCCCCTCTCGCGCACGGAACCTGCGCCCGCGGCTCCGGCCGCCGCCCGGACCGCAATCGGTGCTGGAACGTTTCCTGCTCGCACAACCAGGGTCGGTGTCCCGGCGGAGGCGGCTGCTGCTGCCGCCGGGAGGGATGGGGAACACAGCGCGGCGCGGAGCTGAGCCGGCCGGTCGCTGCCGCCGCCGGCAGCAGGCAGGGGTGGGCTTTCGGGTGTTCCCGGCTTGTGCACTCGGCGGGCTTCGCTCCACCGGGGCAGGCGGCGGCATGGGCGCCTCCCCAGTTTGCCGCAGCGGGTGACGCGCCCCTCCCGCGGGCTGGGAAGCCGTGGGCTCCGGCAGCGGCGGAGAGCGCGGGTCCGGCCGGGGCGGTCGGTGTCGGGACCGGGCCGGGTAGCCCGAGGGGAGCGGGGCGGGATGGCAGGGGCTGCCACGCGCTGCCGCCATTGGCCGGCGGCCGCGGGCCGGCCGGGGGATTGGGTGGGAGCCCCGTCAGTCAGGCCGCTCCCGTCCCCCTGGCAACAGGCGGGGCAGCCGGCAGGACAGAGCCCAGGGGTTCCCGGAGCCTTCGCGGCTCCGTGGCCCGGGGCAGGACACGATCCGTGCCCTGCCCCGCTCCGTTCCGTGCTGCCCCGGGCCCTGGGCCGGCGTGGCCCAGGCGGCTGAAGGCCCTGCTGCCGGCCTGGGGCGGGTGGCCAGTCTCAGCCCCTCGGCTTGGGTCGCTCTGGGTGTCCCGGGGCTGTGTCTTCATTACCTTCTGACTCTCCTCTTTTTCTCTCCTTCCTCCCCTTCTTCCTCAGGCTTTGTGCGTGGGGATTACTGGGTTTGGTTGGGGAGTTGGTTTTATTTTTATTTTTTTATTTTTTCCGAAGTCGGTGAGATCATCCTGCCTGGAGGCTGCGGTGTGACAGAAATGTTAAATAGCACTCTGGCTCGGGGAGGCTTCCTCAGCTAAATTTCATAGTCGCCTGGCAATCAGGTGGTAGTCTTTTAGAAAATGAGTGCTTAATTGAACCGGGAGTAGTATTTCAGGGAAATAGGCTAAAACCTAAAAGCATAAGGTATATGTTAAAAAAGAGTTGCAAACCTTAAAGAATAGGCCATAGTAACTATGAATGAAGAACTACAGGATTAAGTGTCAGGTTGAAAATTCTAGAAAATGTAAGCTGTTGGCATGTGGACTCTATCTCTTTGCAAGGGAAGAGTAATACGAGTCATAACTGGATTTTGATTTCAGTTTTTTGCATCGTAGTAGTTAATATTCTTCAGCTTTTCAATACTCTGAAATATTCTAGTGCAAAGTACCTCATTTTTGATTCAGTTAATATCTTCAACTTTCACAACTCTAAAACATTTTGGGTACCAAACTACTTGGTTTTGATGGCATTTGATAAATAGGGAGAGTAGTTGTCATCCATGCAGTTATGTTTAACAGATGGGACAACTTCACACTTCTTACTGTTTCTAAGTGAGTCACTGAAGGAGTGTGACTAATCATCCTGCCATATAGTTGTCAACAAGAGTATTTTTTTTCCTTAACTACCCACAAAATCAAAGATTTCCAGATTTTCTGTACAAGAACCTCTCTTTTTGAACAACACTTTAAATTTAGATTGAGGGGGACTACATGGGATGGACTTCTTATCTTAAGAATGTATATCACATTTTTTTTTCTGTGTAGCGATCTAATAATGTACTTGGGAAGTCAGTTAACTTAGTATGGTGATTGTCGGGCAAGCAGCCTGCACGTGGATTTAAGGCATTTGTCTAACTAACAACCTCGGTGAAACGTTACTGATTTTATCAGTCCTCTTTCCCCTCCCCATTGCACCTGTGTCAAGTTGTAAGTCACCCGGGACAGAAGCACTTCAGTATTCAGTGCAGTATGGTTTGGGTTTTTTCATGGTAATAGCATGATGGGTGTTGTCAAGGTAATGATAGTGCTGGCTTCGGGGGGTTGAGTGGGAACTGCTTTTGTTATGAGGAAACCAGGGTAGTAAGAGGAAGAACTGGATGAGAAATTTGTGTTTAGAAGTGGGATATGAGAAGTGACCTGATTTGGACATAGCCCTTGTGGGAAATCGAAGTCAGCAGTTAACTACAGCTTGTGAGGCTGAGCCAAGAGGGCAGCATTGATTAAAAATTCCCCCAAACCTAAATATTACGTGAATGGAAAATGTCTTGAAGGGAAGATACTCAGATTTAATTTCTTTTAAGTTGAATGAGTTAGAGCTGGGAGAGATTTTAAATGCATCAAAATGTAGTGTTGGATACACTACAGGAGGAAGATGATTGATTTGAAAGAAGTGCTTAGAAGTGCAGTTACTTGGGGTAGGGACTTGTGGGGGGAAGTAACATGAGGTGTGGAAATAAATGAGACCAAGGATACATCAGAATGGATCCCACAAAGAACATAAGAAAGGTATATTAAATGTATGCCAGCTTCTGCTGTTGACAAATTTTCTGATTTTTTTTAATCTCTTTGCAGTGTTGATAAAGATTTGCTCTTTTTTAAATGTATTTCTAATTCTTGGGTTGGTCTGTTTGTTGTGTCATTACCGTCTTGTGAAGGCTAATTATGGATCAGGCGTGTGCTTAGAATGCTGTTTTCTGTGTTTTCCCCTTAATTTAAACTTGAATGGACTTTTGTGTGTGTGTGAATTGACAGAAAACAAACAAAAAAGAAAGGCATTTACCCACATGCAACAGAATGGTGCAATGTGGTTGGGTTTTTTTGGCCTGATCTCTTTAGAGAAGTGATCTCAGTTTGTCTGGTGTCTGCCTCAGCAGGTGTTACAGATGCCTTTTGTTAAACAGGAAGCTCAATTGAAAGAACACTTTATCATCTTTCAAATAGAGAGTGGAAGCACAGGTTTTCTTTAGAAAACAAAAGTTGAGGAGTGGTCTGAGCACTGATTGAGTCTTGGCAAGAGAGAGGTGGTAATGACACAGAAATCAATGGAGATGATGCATCATTGACACTGCAAGGTTTTTCTTGCCTTCTGACATTGTGGTGCCATTGTTTGGTAAATGATAAAGAACTGTGGCTTAAGTACAGTGCACCCTTTTACATAGATGGGTGTCCCTTTGATAGCTAATCCTTGCATTAGAGAATGCAAAGAAAACACACAAATACTGTAATAATGTTAGAAGAGTCATTCCACCAAAAATAAGTCTGTGGGCTCTGTGCTATGTGAGGGGTATTACTGATAGAAATACTAATGTGGTTTTATATGGGAGTTGTCACAAGTCTACACTGGATAATTGCAATCCAATAATTAGAGAACCATGTTTTTAACTATACTTCGTCTTTTAAAATACTCCACACTGCTATTGTATTTTACCTGGAGGAAAGGACATAAATTTTATGCTAATTCCTTTAGCTTTCTAGAATATCCTTGTTTAACTAAGAAAAAAAAATAGAAGTGTCATTGCATTTTTATTTTAAAGTTGCCATACCAACTGATATGCTCTTTCAGAGAGGAAGGGGGCTTGAAACTATTTTTCAGCAAGCTAGAAGTATTTATATATTTCTATATTAACATAATAAACTACACTGTTGATTTGGTCAGTAATATGAAGCTTGGTTCACCTTAATCATCTTTAGCTCTTAATAAACCAATTTGTTTGAAAATGCTGGGAACGTTTTACTGTAAATTAGATAAATTCTTCCTGTAATTCCTGTGCAATGAAATCTTCTGGTTTTGACCAGGACAGTTTGGCATTATCATTATGGATCGCTCCCCACACCGTGCAGGAAATGGCAATGAGCATGTGCCTTCACAAGAGCGCAGTCATGGTGAAGGCGAGAGACAGCGGCAGCTGGAGCGCCTCAGCAGGGAGGAGGCCTATTACCAGTTCATTAACGAACTCAACGAGGAGGACTACAGGTTAATGAGGGACCGAAACCTGCTTGGCACTCCTGGTAAGACATGCATACCTTCAGCAGAAGAGGTGTAAAGTGAAGCAACACTTCTGCTGTTAGGCACCATATATGGTACCATGACTCAAGTAACCTGACTTCTGTGGCTTTGTAGAAAGGAAAGAAACCTTCATATGGACCAAAGTGTAGCACTTTCAAATGCAGTATATTTGTGTACAGGTAGTGCCCAAACCAAGATAATTAACATTTGGTACATCACACTATATCTGTTGATATGTGGCAGTTTTGGGGGGCCTCTGAATTGTTACTGGAAGCTGGCATATTCTTGACACATTGAGCATCTTTTTTTTCTTTCACCCCACTGCCTACTTTCTCTGATATCTGCATTATAACCTCACGTTAGTACTGTTTTCTTTCTGGTTTCATCAGTTTTATCTGTCTTCTGAAGTTTTTCATTTAAGATAGTAATATTATTTTTGCATGGCTGTGTTGAGGCAGTAATATTGTCGTACCTAAGAGCATTATCAAAATGTAAATTGTTTCAGGAGAAATAACAGCAGAAGAGTTGCAGCAACGTTTGGAGGGGGCTAAGGAGCGTCTGGCATCGCAGTCTGATTTGGATAACAGAGAAGGTGAAGGTAGAGCTGTTGGAGATAAATATTCTTCCTTTATATATGTAGACACATAGTATGTGGTGCATAAATGCTGTTCTGTAAAGGTATTTAGGTGAAACTCATTTCTCTTTCTTTTTTTTCTTCAATGTGCCTCTGTGGATTGTTTAAGAGATTTCCTAATGATACATTACCAAACTTGAAATACATGATGAAAACTTGTTTATGTTAATCAGAAATTATTTGCTCCATTCCTACTCGTTTTCTTTTGTTAGTAGATATAATAGCCCAAGAAATACGGATTCTTCAGTTCTTAGAGGCTTTTGTCATGTATTGGAGCAGTTGGAAAGGAAATTAATTGGGAAACAGTTAATCTCTCTACTGTTTTGTCACTTTCGTTGTTTTATTTCCATGCTTTAATCAAGTGAGGCTTGTGTAACATGCACTGTCTGTCTTCAATTTTCCAGAAATACTGGCTTAATCATTTGGCCAGTTCTAGTCAGATTTAAGAGAAGAATTGGTAGCTCAGAAATGAAGGTACCAAGGTACTTGGAGGTTTCCTGGACATATGGAGATCCTTAATCTGATCCTTTCAAAGGAAAATCTTCAGTGTGATCATGACTGTTGGCCTGCTTTATACATATAGTTAGTCCTAACTACTACAATTACATCTGCTCCTGAGCTTGTAGTTGGAGGTTTGAAGAAGAAGCTGTGGATATTGTAAAACAGAAAGAGTATATTTGCAAGAAATGAGAAAATCTGTTCAAGCCATGCATCCCACCTGGCCTCATTCCTGTGTAAGCTGCTCTAGGTCACCCTGCCTTGGCAAGGGAGTTGAACTAGATTCCAGAGGTCCCTTCCACCTTAATGATTCTATGATCATTTATTCCACCGCTTATTGGAAACAAATTTTTTAAATGTTTTTCCAAAAGAAGATAAGACTTATTATTCTTTTTGCTGCTGTATCAAAATGAGTTGTTAAAATATCCCCAAACTGGTAACTTCAGCAAGCAGCAGATATTAGACAAATACAACTAACTATCTTTTCTGATCCAGCCAGGTCTTTCTACAGTCTTAAGCTGTGCCAAGGGAAATATAGGATAGATATTAGGAAAATGTTTTTTACAGAAAGAGTGATAAAGTACTGGACTAGTCTGTCTGAGGAGGTGGTGGAGTCACCATCCCTGGATGTGCTTAAAAAAAGATTGGATGTAGTGCTTGGTGCCATGGTTTAGTTGAGGTATTAGGGCATGGCTTGGACTCGCTCTTGAAGATCTCTTCCAACCTAGTGATTCTGTGAATCTGAACACTTGCTCAGAAGGGGCCATCTGGGCACATCAATTTCTCTGTGAGTCTGCTGGTGAGACACAAATTTTAAGTTAAACTGGTGAGTTTTGGTGATGCTTTTACATAGAGCTTATTTTTGTACATTACCATAGCAAGGTAGGTGTCCTGCTACTATATAATGTCTGAAGTCAGAGCCCAGCAAGTGTAGAGGATTTGGAGTGTTTTGTAGTACGTGCAGCATGCAATGAATGTTTGCAATTCTTTGTTTTTCTCAGATTCTGAAGTTCTCGGGGAAAACTCAAACGGTGATTCTTTGCTTGAATGGCTTAACACATTTCGTCGCACCGGAAATGCCACTCGCAGTGGACAGACTGGGAACCAAACTTGGAGAGCTGTGAGTCGAATGAATCCAAACAGTGGGGAGTTTCGTTTTAGTCTTGAGATCAATATAAATCATGATCATAACAGTTTTGAAACTGCTGGTGAGGAGTATGTTGACATAGATGCTACCAGACTGTATTTAGAAAGAAGACGCCAGCTAGGTGCCAGCTCAGTAACCCCAAGAACAAGGAACATGGATGCAAGAGAGGAAAACAACGAAGCTGCAAGGACCAGGCTTTTACGACGTGCCATGGCACTAAGGTCAGAAATCGTCTCTCATGCAGTCTTGGGCAGGCTTAGGAGTAGAACAAGGGAGCTGACAGGCCAGACAAATACTACACGAAATAATTCTGCAGCTGCTGGTGAATCAAGAGGAATGCCAGAAAGAGGTACTTCTACAGGAGTCAGAAGGGGAAGAGCTAGAACTAATGTCCGGACGAATACAAACCAAAGACTAGAAATTTTGCGGCTGAGGTCTACCTTAAGTAGTCGAAGCCGCTCTCCTCTGCAAAGGCAAGGTGACACTGCTCATTCTGCGGAGCGTGGTCAGAGGCGGGATAGAAATGCACAGCAGTTCAACAGAAGTAGGAGACAAACAGCTCAGGCTTCTCCACACCCTACTGAAGAGCAAGCAAGAGGTAACACTCAGGCTCCTCAGCTTCCCAGTGTAGCCCCATCCTTGGGAATAACTTTGGAAGAGGAAGAATCTAGTAGGCCAGCAGCTACTGTCAGAAGGCATCCAACAATTACATTAGATCTTCAGGTGAGAAGAATTCGTCCTGGTGAAAACAGAGACCGGGACAGCATTGCCAGTAGAACTCGTTCTAGAGTAGGAATGTCACAAAACACCGTTACCTTTGAAAGTGACAGTGGGGGATTTCGGCATACAATATCACGATCAGAACGCGCGGGTATTCGGACCTACGTTAGCACTATACGGATACCTCTTCGTCCGATTTCAGAAACTGGGCTTGGGGAACCTTCATCAGCGGCTCTTCGATCAATCCTTAGGCAGATAATGACAGGCTTTGGAGAGCTGAGTTCTTTAATGGAAACTGAATCTAACTCAGAAGTGCCAAGAGGAGGTCATCACTTAGCAAATGCACAGGGTAACTCAAGTTCAGCAAACGACAGCGATCCAAGTGAGGTTTTGTCTAGAAATGGACATGCACTAGAACGCAGTGGGGAAAGAAATGGACAGAGGGATGGTAGTCAGCGCTCTGGGCACAGTCATGAGAACCAAGGTAACAGGCATTCTCAAGATGCAAACAATTTAGTGGAGAATGGAACACTGCCCATCCTTCGACTCACCCACTTCTTCCTGCTGAATGAAGATGATGATGATGATCGTTCAAGAGGTTTAACCAAAGAGCAGATTGACAATCTTTCTACACGAAATTATGGGGACAATCTCACTGAAAATGAATGGAGTAAAACGTGCAGTGTTTGCATTAATGAATATGCAACGGGGAATAAACTAAGGCAGTTACCTTGTATGCATGAGTTTCATATTCATTGTATTGATCGCTGGCTTTCTGAAAATTCCACTTGCCCAATTTGTCGGCAGCCAGTTTTGGGGTCAAATGCCACTGATACAGGCTAGAATCGTTTTTACTGCTCAGCATTCAGTGATTTGCTCCTGCTCTGTTTGTAATGAGCCAGATGAAAGGCATTGACTCAGATAGGGTCCATTTGTGGGGGGAGTTTGTTAAATTTCTTAAACAGTGATAGGAAAATTGTCTAAATCTAACAATGTAAATATTATTTTTTTCCAAGTGCAGGTCTAGGAGTACACATAAAACCAAATGATATTGGTAAAGTTTATATTTTTTTAGGTAATTTTGTTATGCTAAGCACTTTCGTAAATAGAGAAATGCAATAGTTAATCAGTCTTGCTTAATGTATGTTTTTTAACATTGTAATGGACTCGCTTTATTTAGATTACAAATGGTTTCACACAGACCCACCACTGTGTTGAAAAATTAGTGGCTACATAGCCATTTGTTAGCTTTTTGTTCTAAGAACAATTTCTTTTACAGAAAGTGTCTTGCTGGACATGTTTGCTAAAGATATTTAAGTTACTTGAAGTGCTCATTTTAATAGACTTTTTTTAAACATTGAAAAATCCTTTCTAAAAACTTGCTAATTTGGTTCAGTTTTAAAAATTCTATGGCAGTTTTTGCATGTTGGTTTACACAGTTCTTAACGTTGATAAGTTCTTATTCAGATGTGGATGCATTGGTTATAATAAAAAATGTACATAATTAAATGCTGTCTTTGACAATCTTTGTCTTTTCAATGCAGACAGCAATCAAATCTCGTAATTCCAAGAGGGTGTGTCTTACTTGCTCAAAGAATAAATGAGCACTGAGGAAGCCTTTTTACTCTTCTAAATTACTCAATTGATATTCCTGGGGTTTTAACTGCCTTAGTTTAAAGAGGGAAAATATTACCTTGACTATTATATTGTCTATAATATGCATGTTTTGGGCATCCTACTCAGAAGAACAAAACAAATTCTTGAAGTGCTTTTGCACAGAAATTTAAGGTACATGTATTTTATTAATCCTCGTGAAACATGCCTGAGGACATGGCAAAAGACATTAAAAAGGACAAAATAAACTTCCCTGAAAGTCCCCAGTATCTGTATAATTAGGTATTAAACTTTATACCAATGACTTACACTGAAATAAAGTTGCAAGTTTAATAATTGACGCTTTGCTTGAATTACTGTTGAGCCATATCCTGTAGATTACCAAGAAGACTGGCTAATCTTGATGCTCAGTTTTCACTTTATTCTTTCCCCACTTTTCCCCAGCTCTGTTCCAGGCCAGTTACTTGTTGCGGTATGTAAAAGCCCAGTACAAAGCATTCCAGGATTTCTGGGAGAAGCTTAATATTACAAAGCTTGTCTTTTAAGCAACCTGCATCTCAATCTCTAGAGAAAGGCAGAACTGTGTAATAATGTGGTGTGTGTGTGTATTGTGAGCAACTGAAACAGTACTTGAAATGAACAAGTTGTACTGGCTTTCTCTGCCTGCAGGTAGTGGCCTTAACAAATGTGCTTCTGTGCCAGGTGCCTCAGTTAGAACATCTGCTCATGACATCCTTCAAGGGTACCTACAAAATCCCATCTGAGCTACTGGATGTCTACTTCAGTTTTGTGAGTGAAAAGCTTGTGTCATAAATTCCACAGAAGGGCTTCTATTCATTCCTAGAAGTAGTTCTGAGAAACTATTATGAGATTTAGATGAGTTTAAGGATATGATTAACATCTTTTCTGATGTAATTTGGGCTGTTAATTACCGCAAATGTAGGTGACCACTCCCTTGAGTGCTTCCTTAGCTGCAATAAAGAGTGAAGAGATTTAAATGTGATCATCAGAGCTAGCTTATTTTTTGACATATTTTTTTCTGTCACTTCTGTTAGCTCCTGATGTTGACAATATATAAATTTATGGATGCCTTCTGCTACTTCCTTGTCTTCTTTTGGCTTTCTTTTATATTTGAAAGACACATTTGTAGAAGCCTGCGTTTGGCTCACTGTTGCCTTGGCGGTCAGGTCCTTTAAGGTCAATTTTAACTTTAATCCTTAAAACTGTGACACTAATGCACTAGAGCTAAAGGGAGATTCTCTGTGCCTTCTTTCATTCAAGTGGGATTTGGTCTGTGTACAAGCACAAATGGTTACATCGTTCAAGCTGATTCTGCTGGGCAGAAAATCCTAAAGTACGGTGAGAGCTTTCTGTAGAAATTGTAGGCTATGGGATAAGAAACATAAAGACTTCTTTACTGCATTTCTGTCCTGTCACATGAGAGTTTGGAAACAAGTATTTCCCCTCCACTGGAGAAGCATGTAATTTGTTACTCAGCTTTCCCAAGAAATTGTGTTGATGGGACCAATTAAATCCTAGTGATTCAGTTTGGTATTGGCTTCTGTTACCTTAATTTCTGTGGTAAAACTTGATTTCTCTGCCACCCCCACCCCCAAAACATGTATTTTTTTGCCTTGTCTTTTGGTGACATTAAAAAAATTAATTTATATGGGAATAAATAGAAAAATGTGGGCAGAATTTTTACAAATAACAGTTTATTTAAAATGAAATATTAAAAATTTAGTTCAACTGGTAGCACTAATCCAGAGTCTGTAGAAAGCCTTAATGTTGGAAATGACCCAGAAAGCTGCTTTGAACAAGACCTCTGCAAAGATAATAGAGAAATATCAGGCTGAGTTAATAGGTTTTTCTATTTCTTACATGTGTGATGCTATCAGTGACTTTCTAGCTGATATTGTGGTCCTGTATATCTCTGTAATAGTCTCTTCTTTAATAATATATGACATAGAAGTGGATCTGTGTTGCCAAGTAACAACAATTAGCAACATGGAAATTTAAAAATATGGAAGGAAACAGCGGGTTATGTCCTGCCATTTCATGCTTTCACTTTTATGGGAAATAACTGTTGCACTTATAAAAGCAGACGCCACTTCCCCATACCCAAGCTCCTGCTGAAGTAACCCTGTGCAGTCATGTGGTAACTGCCAAGTGACTGATCACCATCCAACCTGACCACCAGGACACCTAGGAATGATGTGGAGACATCCTGCAACCATGTGAGGAAGTGGTGGGCCATGTTGGTAATCAGAGTGTGCAAGGTCATGTGGGCAGGAGAAACCTCTTAACAGAAGAGAGGGGAAGTAGACCCCAGCTCTGTTTACACAAATAAGGCAGGCCCTACAGGCCAATATGGTGGGGGCAGATATCTTACTTTGTCTAAGAAATGGGCATCTCAAGTGCCTGTTTGCAGAAAGCATAGGGAAGAAGCAGGAGGAACCAGGTCTGTTTGCTGTTCAAAGGCTGTGATCTCATCGGAATCACAGAGACCTGATGGGATAGCAGCACTCCAGCTGTGTAAGCTATGGATGGACACAAGCTCTTCAGGAAAGACAGTGAAGGGGAGGACCTGCCTTTTGTGGCGAGAGCAGCAGGAATGCATGAGCTGTCTCAGCATGGATGAGGAGCCAGCTGAGAGCCAGGTCACAAGTAGTAGACAGAACAGCAGGTCACTGTCTGTTGTAGGCCATCTGATCAGGTCAAAAGTGGCAGGTGGGATCTTCAGACAAATAGTCCAAAAATATTTTTTCACAAATAATTGTAAGTATACTTGCCGGTTTCTTTCCTTTCAATGTCCACCCCCGAAAAGAGACACATTAATTTGATTGTGGGTTGTAAGATTCACCAGTTCCTGAAGAGGCTTTGAGACCTGACTCTCCTTTTGAGTGCACTGACCATACATCAGTGCAGTCCTCAGGGATTCAAGGGAGAGAGGGGACAGATGTCAGAAAGCTCAGGATTGTCATTATCCAGTCATATACCATGGTTATAACTGTGGAGCTGTGCATACCCAGCTGTGGTCAGAGCAGCATTCAGAACCAGACACAGCTATGCTGACTGCAACACTCAGAGCTGAGTCTTTAAAATTCAAAATATAATTAGCTCTCCTGAGATACGCAGCTAATCAGATTTCAGCCTGCATGCAGAAGGTATCAACAACAGGCAAGCATTACCCAGCACACTGCAGACTTCCCTCAGCCTGCTCATGTTTACAGTGGGAGCGGGGTTAGCCCACCTTTTGGACACACAAGGTACCTCAAAGTGAAATTTCTTCCTTTTTTTTTTTTTTTTTTTTTCCCTGGGCTTACACTAGACTTTTGACTAGTCTGAAAGAGACCTGGAGCAGGTTCGCCAGATACTCATTGCACGTTGCTCCTTGGCATCACGTTGCTCCTTGGCATCACGGTTGCTCCAGAAGGTGTTTATCCCAGCACTAAATTTATCTTTAGTGTAATGTAAATTGCCTGAAGTGCAAAAATGAAATATACACAATAAAAACAAATACAGCTTTGATTTTCTTCTACAGGTTGAACAGCTAAAATGGGATGTGTGTGATCACTTTATCCCATTATTTTAAGCAGTCCTTTCAAAGGCCTAACTTCAGGCATTTATAACCCACAGTTGGGCTTCTTGTCCTGAGTACAGTGAGACAGTTAAAGTATATTGCTTCTACTTCCAAGAAAAGCACTTGAATTTTATGTTGAGCATTTCCATCTCATCAGGAGTATTAAGCCTTCAACTAGGCCAGTTCCATTATGATGTATTTCCTTACACAGCATTAGTTCTACAGTGCCAGGCATCTGACATACCTTACAGAGCCTGTGAACTATTTTTGCAGTTCACACACATTCGAGCTACATTAATAATGGCTCACCCTTTACCTTCAGGCATGCGTGCCCAGAAAAGTATATCATGTTGCTATTTTAATACAGAGGTCTTGCCCTTTTCTGAATGAGTAATGCAGGAATAGAGCACTTTGGCTGCTGGTACTATTTCTTTTACTATGTTCTTAAACACATTTGGCATAACTTTTGTTCCCCTTGGTAATGTTAATAGCATAAACACTGAAAGAACAGGAATTGCAAGTATGTGTGAGCATAGAGTGTGGTTAATCTGCATATGTGTAGCAGTTAACTTAAATATGCATATAGTGAAAGTAAAGAATTGTATTATTTGTTGCTTAACATGGTAGTTTATCTCTGTACACACACACATTTATACAATAAATTGAACTCTATAGGAAAAAAAGCATGCATTCATAAGGAAAAAAATAGAAGCATCATAGTATAATGATTGCATCAGAATTATTGCACATCTGGATTCGGGTTCTTCTGTTGAGTGACATTAGCTCTTTCATACTTGGGGGCTATCCCCAGTATGACAGCTGAGACATTTTCCCTGTTGCAACTGTTTATATTCCGTTTTCTAAGTTTTTTTTTCCCCTTGACATTTTCTGTTCTGTTCTGTAAAAACCCAGGTTTGGGGCTATTTAAGTAAAAGGCCTCCAAAATTTAGCCCCCCTCCCCAGCTCCTTTTTAAGGCATCTCAAACTCCAGGCTCAAATTTTATTTTCTTGTTACATGAATCCCAAACTATGATTTTGGCCTCCCTGCCGATTTCAGTCACTCATTATTCCTCTGCATCCATACTGTGCTCTGACCCACCACATGAATCAAGTTATAGCTCCTTTCTCTGTGATCTAGGTTGTGAGACGTAATGCAATTTGAGGCATCCAAAACCCCAGAAAGCACAGTGATGAGATCCCTTCTCACTATGACGGTGGTAAAACTGGGGACGACAGAACAATTTGAATAATGCAGACTATTTTGGACAGAAGCATGCTGAGAGTAAGAACCTCTGCAGAGCCCAAGCACAGAGGGTCCCAGAGCAGCCTAGGGCTCATCCCTATGCGCTGCCTTGGACAGCTCAATTCAGATGAAACCTTCGGCTTCCAAGAGGAAGAGTCTCCAGCAGGAGAGGGCGCCAGACATCAAGGAGCAAGTGGTGGCTTGGCGGTGCGTCCGGGAGCACAGACCTGCCTGGGAAGGGGAAGGTGACCGGCAGCAGGGCACTGAATGATAATCCTCCCTTAAGGGGAAGAGAGCACTTCAGATTTGAAGATGCTCATTGGTCGAAAGGAGGACAAAAGTCTGAGGGTCCACAAACAGTTTTATTGGTAAATGACACTCTTGATGTGGAAATCGGTATGTTAGTCCCAGACCTGCTATATAGACATACGGCATTGGGGTTTGGGTAATGGGGTAGGGTGAAGAGAAAAATTAGGCACATGGCAGTGTGTTTTGGATAAAGAGGTAGGGTGGAAGGGAAAAGGGAAATTAAAGTAGTTGATTTAAAAAGGAAAGGTTATTTTTTAAAAGGAAAATAGAAAAAGAGAGGAAAAGAAAGAGGAAAAGAGAGATGAAAAGGGATCATCAGCCCTCATTCCAGTGTCAATCCAGCTGATGGGATGCTGATCCTGGTTTCAGCATTGACCCAGCTCATAAGCAGTGATCCACTTCTGTCAGTCAGGGTGATGAGATGTCCAGGTTCTGGGGGCACCACTTGGGCTTGAGAGTGACTCTGCTGTACTGTGTTGTGCTTCTTTCTCATGGAAAAGTGCTGCCTTGTCTCCACCTGCTCCCCATTCTCCATCCAAAATCTGTTCTTTCTCACAGCGTGCTAGTACCAGTTGGTTATTACCAACAATTTGTCTGTTATTACTAACAGTCCTTGACTGGCTCCGCAGCCATCCTGTTATCAGTATTTGAGACACACATCAGTCCCTTTTGTGAATTGAGAGCGCAAAAGGATCTCCCTTTGGACCACTGTTCATAGGGTCATTAGAGTGGCCTTTAGTAATTACCAGGCCCTCAAAACTGAGAGTTCAAAAGGGTCTGACTTAAGACCACTGTCCACAGGGCTATCAGAAAGTGGGGTTTAGTCAGAATTATTTTTCATACTGGCCACAATTCAAGTTGAACTTTTCTAGAAGGTTTGTCAGGAGGAATATTACTCCAGTTGGGTTGTTATTCAGGCAAGAAAAATAAGTTTCCTAGGCTGCTTGCTAAGAAACAGGTGCTCATTAGACAACACTATTTCCTGGGAACAGACAGTGATCCTGATGAGCTGGAGATGGGCTTAGTCCTGATGCAGTTTCTCATGGCCGAGACCTCATGAGCATTTCTTAAATGACAGAGCAGCCTGAGCAGGGAGGGGGGGCGTGACTAAAATCAGCTTCTCTGGGATTCTACACATCGTGAGCCCAGGTGGCGAGAGGGGACACGCTGCTCCTCCCGCCAAGGCGCAGCTTCCTCTAAGAGGGAGGGGAAAATAAAGGACTGGGGGAAAGCGCTTTCTCTTCGCGCTCCGAGGGGCCGACGCTGCCCTGGGAGGAAGGGTAGGGCAGAATCTCCTGGGACATAGCACCCACGCCCTTTGCTCCTCTGGCTGTGGAAATACTAACGCGACCTTAAATGAATGTTAGTTACGAAACAAAATGAATTAATTCCATTTGGAATGAAAGCGAGGAAAGCCAGCTGCCAAGCGCAGTGACGGCTGTTCCACTTGTGGGACCGACGGGGCGGAGGAGGCGGTGCCTCCCGGCGCGGGCCCGGCCCCGGGAGCTCTCCGAGGTGCTGGAGCGGCTGCCACGATCCT